GCCCGGCGTGAGTTAAAGCCACCGGGTCCGGGACTCGAACCGCGGTCGACTACGTAGGAGTCCAGCGACATAGCCATTATGCTAACTGCTGGTCCCTCAAAGCCTATTTTTAGACAAGATCTCAAAGTGCTTTCTCTCTCTCTCTCTCTCCCCAGTGAGTGCTTATGCCCTCTGGGAAATTAAAATATAAAATTCATTGAAAAATAGAATTAAGTCGGGACCAGTCAGGTGGCATGGTGGTTAAGGTGGCTGGATCCAAGATGGCTGACTATGTAGTTCAAGTTCTGGACCCAGTGGCTTGAAAAACACACTGGGCACATATGTATCTGTGCCCAAAATCCTGGGAAGAGAATGGAGGAGAGGGGATTGTGATGTGGACAACCCTTTGGGGACTGCTTTCTCACTTTCTCTCTCTCTCTGTCTCCAGCGAGTGCATACATCCTATAGCAGATTTTAAAAAAGAAAAAATTAAGTCACATTAATTTTGGTGAAAATCATTTTGAAATCCATGTATAGTTTCTTCATAATTTACATTTTTCATAAAGTTTTTGAAGATTCTTGTGTAGTGGCTGGTATCTGGAGCTTTTAATCACCGATTATTCACTATGTCTTCATTACAAGCCAAGAATAGTATAGGGTCCGAACGGTGTTGAAGCATTGAAGTTTAATGGGTCCCAAGGTTTGTTTTTTTTTTTTTTTTTTTTGAGAGGTTTTTGCTATAGGGCGCGTGTGCTCGCCAGACAGAGAGAGACAAAGAGACAGAAAGTGAGAAATCACCCCCTGGGGGGATGGCCATGCTGCAATCCCTTTTCCTCCATTCTCCTCTCGGGATCTTGGGCACGCACACAAACATGCCCGGCGTGAGTTTCAAGCCACTGGGTCCGGGGCGCGAACCGCGGTCGACTACATGGGAGTCCAGCGACATAGCCATTACGCTAACTGCTGGTTCCAGTCCCAGGGTTTTGGAGTAGCACTTTGCTATCTAAAATCCAAGATCAATTTCCTCAAATTCTTAGAAATGGACTTTTCTTCACTGGAGTCCCATGGATTCAGGAGAGAAAAGTAAGGAGGGACAACGCTAGGCCCTCGAGGGTCACTGGTACATAGCCTTGCAGGTAGCTACAGGCCCAGGAGCTGATCCGTGCGTCAGGCTGTGAGCTTGAGGAAGGAATGCTGCACTCATTTTTCTTTGGCTTCCATGGTATCTCAGGAGTGGGAGGGGAAAGAGGAAGATGAGTCCAGGCAGTAGCCAAGGGAGCTGCAGGCACATCTCCCTGCTCTCCTCCAGCCCTGGAGTCCTGTCTGGGCTTGGCCAGCCAGGGGCAGGGAGATGTGTGGAAGAGAAAGTGGTGGGGTGGAAGGGAACTGCCTGTAGAATGTAATTTTTCTCAGTCCACCACATTGGCCTTTTCCTCACCCATTCTAAGTAATCCAGCCCAGATCCCTGGAGGACAGCAGTGGGACTGGAGAAAGAACTTCCCAACTGGGAGAAAAACATATGGGGTCTCCTGGGGTGAAGATTTAGGGAGGGCATGATTCTTATCCACCCAACCCTCTACTGAAAGAGAACAGTGGGGGATGCAGATCCTGGACCAGAAGGAAAGTTGCTTCTTGGGCAAAAATCCCACCTTAGGTACCCTTCTTTCCGGTCCCCCAGATCCCAAATACTTCCCCTGTTCTAAGGCTGCTTGATTTCATGAGGTGGCAGTGGTAGGGTAATGGGTGGGCCCAGCTGGGACCAGGGGTCCTTCTTTATTTTTCAGAGGTCACCCATCCTGTTAAAGAGGAGCTCTTGTGGTATAGAGCGTCAGTGAGTGCTGGTCCCTGATCCCCCTTTTCTCTTCCCAGTCATGTCCTGTGTTCCCCTTCTTTCCTATTACCACCAAATTCCCTGATAATTTCAAATCTTTTCTCCCCCTTTTTCCCTGGAACCCTATACAAACCCTTGACACTCCCTTGTCACTCCCTTGCTTAAATCCTCTGTGGCTTCATATCGTTTTCAGGGAAAAATCCAAACTGCTGCCTTGTCTGAAATGCCCTGCTCTCAGACCTTGGCCTGGTAGGCTCCTTGCCTATCTGGACTCTGTGCAAATGTCATTACTTATTTGTCTGTGTGTGTGTGTGTGTGTGTGTGTGTGTGTGTGGTTTTATTAATTCTGCCATAGGGTGAGTGCACTAGCCAAGGAGAGAGAGAAAGAGAAACTCTCCTGTGGGAAATGGTCAAGCTGCAATCCTTTCTCCTCCATCTCTTTCTACTCTTGGGATTTGGGGCACAAGCACACATGTACATGTGCCTGGTGTGTGTCTCAAGCTGTAGGGCCAGGACTCGAACCATGCTCTGAGCCATGTGGGATCTAGCTGCCTTAATCACTATGCCAGGGGGCTGGCCCAGCAAATGTTACTAGTTCTTTTAAAAAATCTCTCTCTCTCTCTCTCCCTCTCTCTGTCTATCTATCTACCTACCTACCTACTGTAGGGTGCATGTGCTCACCAAAGAGACAGAAAGTGAGAAATCACCCCCCAGGGGGGATAGCATGCCACAATCCCCTCTCTTCTATTCTCTTCTCATGATTTGGGGCACGCATGCACATGCACCCAGAGTGTTTTAAGCCACCAGGTCTGGTACTCAAACTGTAGTTGACCATGTGGGAGTCCAGTGATGCAACCATTATACCATCTGCTGGTCCCTGTCATTATTTCTTTTTTTTTTTTAAGATAAATTTTTGCTATAGGGTGTGTGTGCTCACCAGAGAGACAGAAAGTGACAAATCACTCCCCAGGGAAGGTGGCTATGCCAAAATCACCTCTCCTCCATTCTCCCTCTTAGGATCTGGGGCACTCACACACACACACACCTGGTGTGAATTTTAAGCTGCTGGGTCCAGGACTTGAACCATGGTTGACTACATGGGAGTCTAGTGACATAATAATTACACCATCCACTGGTCCCACTTCTTTATGGACTCTTTCTCTGGCTACTGACCTAGAGATCAAGAGAAACCCACCCTTGAGATCATCTTCTATCTTTTATCATTCTTTATTTTTTCATAATTTCCTAATAATATCTGAAATAATCATATTTACTTACCAATATAGTTAGGGATGCAGCAGTGAAACATTCTAGTAATGAGTATGAAAAGGTCAGCCTAGCCTCGTGGTGTAGCCTAGCCCCAGCTCCAGGCCAACCAGTATAAATCTTTAAGACAGCAGGCCTGTGTAGGAAATGCCATTTTCAAAGCGATTGAGAACCTATGTGCATGAAATAAAAGGAATAGTACTTAACAGAGTTGAGAAATGACGATTGGGCTGGCCCCATGGCCTAGTTGTTAAGGGAACTGGGTCCCATGCAGCTGGCCGTGTAGTACAAGTCTTGGACCTGGCTTCTTGTAAAACACACAGGGCTCATGTACATGTGTGCCCCAAATCCCAAAGAGAAGGGATTGCAGCGTGACCTCGTCCCACCACCAGGGAGTGCTTTCTCCCCTACCCCTCTGCCTCTGTTTCTCTCTGGTGAGCACACTTGCCCTCTGGCAAAAAAAAAAATAAAAAGGTGGGTTGGACCAATTGATTGCTCTGCTCTCTGCCACCTTTCAGAGGCTCAGATTTGGATCCTGTGCTCACTGTGCATACTCTTGAGTTTAAGGGACACATGGTCCCTCCCATTTCCTGCAGCCTTTGTTCCTAACAGTCCAAAGTGAGTTGTTTTTGAGCTGCCACTGAGAGAGTTGACCCAGGTAAAAGATTCTCTGTTGAAGTCTTTGAACGCTTTCTCTTTCCCCTCTTGGAGACAAAGTCCCAGCCCTGGATGCTGATCCTTTTTCTATCCATGTCCCTTCCTCCTTTCAGCCTCATTCAGTTTAATGTTTGAGCCATGGGGAGAGAGAACCAGCTGTGGGCTGGGCTCAGGCACAGAGCCCCCTTTCATGTCTCAGGGGGTGCAGTGTTCAAGGCACAACACGAGTGAGCCCCAGCAGAAAGGCCTTGGCCTCAGTTATTCTCGGGCACACAGACAGCGTGTGTGCGTAGCTGCTTGTGCACAGATGCGTGCGCTTGTAGGTGCTTGTGGCGATCTGTACCTATATTTTAACCTGCTCCTATTTTCTTCTCAGGAGTGGTAAGACAGAGATTAATTAGAGGAAAAGATGAGAGAGGGTGCGTGAGCACATCCCCCAATGGGGCATGGTTGTGTCACAATCCTTTTTTCTCCATTTCCCCTTCCTGTCAGGATTTTGGGCACGTGCACACATGCTTGGAGTGTTTTTCACACTGCCAGGGCTGGGATTCAAACTGTCATCAGCCATGTGGGGATCTAGCTCTCAATGCGCAGGCTTAATCACGGCGCTACAGGCTGGCTCTTAAATGTATTTATTTATTGAGAGAGGAAGAGAGAAAGAGAGATGCCCCCGACAAGGTCTTCATGACACAACCCAACCTCAGCCTCAACCAGCCATGATCATGGGCACATCCACGCGCCCGGTGTGTGCAGGGAGGCCCTAGGATGTGAACCCCAGACCTTTCCTTTGTGGATCCAGCATTGCAGTGTATTGAGGTACCATTGTGCTACCAGCTGGCTCTGTGACTGGCATTTTCTTCTCAGCAGGCATCTGAGGGAAGAAGCCCCCATCCAATGAGGTGTTAAGTCTATAGGACTATTGTGGAGATCTTCCTTCACTTATGTTCCCAGCACCACCAAGATATCCCCATGGTTACCAGTTTGGGAGTACAGGAAAATGGCAGGTTCAGAGGACTGGGCTTTTCCGAAGTGCCTGCATGTCTGGAAGGTGTTGCTGGTCGCCTTGTGCTAAGTCCTTTGTCCCCTGAGTTGTAGCTGCTGGACCTGCCAGTGCTGTCTACCCTTCTCTGGAGCTGTTTGTCTTCTTGCTCCAGCCTGGGGTCCTGGGCAGCAGCTTATAAGATCTCCAAGGGAGGCATTGGACTAAGGGAGAGAATCTTCTCTTCCCATCTCAGTCATCTGTTTCAGAAGGGGTGCCCACCTGTCCCACATCTGTTTGCCCACCTCACCTGGCATGCTGCATCTGTCCCTCTGCTGAAGCTGAGTCATGACCTTCTGTCTGTTTCCCTTTCTGGTTAATGCTTCCGGAAGTGAGCGGTTGTGAGAGGCAGGTTTTAGGAGGCGGGGCTTGGTTTATTGTATTGAGGGAGGAGTCTGTGCACTGGCCCAGCTGGGACGAAGCAGCGGCAGAGGTTGTCCTACCTAGGACAGATGGCTGTAAGAAGGCTGGTCTTCTGGAGGCAGGGACTCGGGGAAGCCTGTATCACCCTTCACCATTCTTTTCTAGAGATCCATAGAGTTTAAGTTACTGTACTCTGAAGCCAGACTGCTGGGTTTTCGTTCTACTATTTACTGGCTATATGGACTTGGGCATGTTACTTAATGCCTCCATGACTCGACTGTCTCACTTGTGAAATGAAGATGATGCAGAATTGTTGTGAGGACATAATGAATTAGTCCATGGACAGACTTAGAACAGTGCCTCCCACAGGTATGCTGAATACGTGTTTGGTTTTACCTTGAATTCTTTCTTTTAAAAAAAATTTTTTTTCAGAGGTTTTTGCTATAGGGCATGTGCGCTCGCCAGAAAGACAAAGAAAGACAGAGAGACAGAAAGCGAGAAATAACTTCTGGGGGGATGGCCATGCTGCAATCCCTTCTTCTCCATTCTCCTCTCAGGATCTTGGGCACGCACGCACAAGCGCCTGGCGTGAGTTTAAGCCACTGGGTCTGGGACTTGAACTGCGGTCAACTACATGGGAGTCTAGCAATATAGCTATTACGCCAACTGCTGGTCTCGGTTTTACCTTGATTTCTAATTGATATCTAGAAGTTCTTTATGGATCAGGGACATTAGCACTTTACCTATGATATGAATTATAAATATTTTAACACAGTCTTCTATTTTTACTTATTTAATTTCATTTGTTATTATTATTTAATTTGACCAGAGAGAGACAGAGTGAGAGAGAGAGAAAGTGAGAAAGCAAGCCACCAGGTCTAGGACTTGAATTGCTGTTGTCCATGCACAAGTCCAACACCCCAACCACCATGCCACCTGCTGGCCCCCAAATCCAGAATCTTATAAAAGTAAAAGGAGGGATGCAAGTGATGTGATATTTAAGGCACTGGACTCCCCACATTTAAGGCACTGGACTCCCCACAAGTTCGACTGCAGTTCAAGTCCTTGACCTGGAGGCTTGGAAATCATGCCGGACCTGTGTGCCTGCAAACCCAAGATCCCAGGAGAATGAAGGAAAAGGGATTGTGGTGTGGCCATCCCCTCCGGGGAATGATTTCTAACCTTTCCTCTTACTGTCTCTCTCCAAAGCACATGCACCCAAGGTAAAAAAAAAAAAAAAAAAAAAAGAAAGAAAGAAAAAAGGAATAATATAAAGAGACCCCTTATACTCTTCAGCCAGTTTTTCCCAATGGTAACATCTTGTTTAACTTGAGTACAAAATCACCAACAGAAATTGACCTTGATATAAACCACAGACCTATTCATATTCCACCAGCTTTACAGGTATCTATACAGGTGCGTGTATTTAGTTCCATGCAATCTCAAGACACCTGTGAGAATTCCTGTACCATTACCACCACAGTAAAGATATAGAATGATTTCATTACAGGAATACCTCATGCCCCTTTTAAATCTCTAGCTACCTTTCTCACTGTTCCTTGTATAACCTCTGGCAACTACTGACCTGCTTTCTAACTCTGTAATATTGTCCTAAAAGAAAGCTGGATAAATGGAGTCATATGATATGTAGCCTTTTGGGATTGGCTTTCTTTCACACATCATAGTTCCCTTGAGATTCATCCAAGTTGTTGTGTCAATAGTTTGTTCCTTTTTATGGATGAGCAATATTCTATGGTCTGGATGTACCAGTTTCTTTAATCATTCACCTGTGAAAAGACACTTGAATTTCTTCTAGCCTGTTGGCTCTCACAAATAAAGCTTCTAGGAACATTCATGTACAGAAACTGCCACACTCTTTTCCATTGTACCATTGTATATTCCCACCAGGAATGTGCGAGTTAGCTGGTTAGTCTGCCATCTTCACCAGAATTTGTTATTATTGCTGTTTCTTATTTTAGCTGTTCTGATAGATATCTTGTAATAACTCATTCCGATTTTATTTTTGTAGAGATTTTTGCTATACGGTGTGTGTACTCACCAGGGAGACAGAAAGCAAGAAACCACCCCACCCAGGGGGGGATGACCATGCCACAATCCCTTCTCCTCCATTCTGCTCTCGGGATTTTTAGGCACACACGCACACACATGCCTGGCATGAGTTTCAAGGTGCCAGGTCCAGGACTCAAACTGCGGTTGACTATGTGGGAATCCAGTGTCTTAACCACTACAGCACTTAACCACTGCTGGCCCCTTTCATTCTGATTTTAATTTGCAGTTTTTTGATGGTTAATGCTGTTGAACAGCTTCTTTCATATATTTAAATAATTGCCGTCTGTGTGTCCTCTTTGTGTGTGTATGTGTGTGTGTATGCGTGTTTAATTTTGTAGAGCACATGTGCTCATTAGATACAGCGAGAGAAGGAAACAGAAATTACTCCTCAAGGGGTGTGGCCAAGCTGTAATCCCTTCTCCTCCATTCTCCTTTTAAAAAAAAAATTATTGCATTTAACTTTCATTTATTTATTTTAATTTGACCAGAGAAGGACAGAGTAGAAGAGAGAGAGAAAAAGAGAAAGTGAGAAAGCAAGCCTCCAGGTCTGGGACTTGAACTGCAGTCACGCATGTGGGAGTCCAGCTAAACCTTTAACCACTACACTATCTGCCAGTCCCCACAGAGCAAAACTTTTTAAATTTTGATGAGGTGCAGGACCAGCAGTTGGTGTAATAGCTATGTCACTGGACTCCCATGTAGTCAACTGTGGTTTGAGTCCCAGATACCATGGCTTAAACTCATGCCGGGCGCATCCTGAGAGGAGAATGGAGGAGAAGGGATCGCGGTGTGGCCATCCCTCCTGGGGGCTGATTTCTCACTTTCTGTCTCTCCGTCTCTCTCTGTCTTTCTGGTGAGCACACGTGCCCTATAGTACAAACCTCTCTAAAAAAATTTTTTTTTTCATGAGGTGCAATTTATCAATTTTTCTTTTTGTGGATTGTGCCTCTGGTGTCAAATCTAAGAATTCTCCTACCCCTAGGTCCTGAAGATTTCCTACTATGCTTTTGTTTAAGTTTATAGTTTTATATTTTACATTTAAGTCTGCAATTCATTTTGAGTTAATTTTGGTATAAGGTGTGACGTTTAGGGTGAGATTTTTTTTTTCTTGCTTATGAATGTTCAATTACTCTAGCATCACTTGTTTGGAAAAGGCTCTTTCTCAAAACACAATGGACACACGTACATACATGCCCCCAAATCCCAAAAGAGATGGAGGAGAAGGAATTGTCATATGACCATTTCCCATGAGGAGTGCTTTCTCTTCTCTCTCTGTCTCTCTGGTGAACACACAAGCTCTCTAGCAAAAAAAAAAGGGAAAGAAAGAAAGAAAAGCTCTTTCTCCAATGCATTGCTTTTACAGCTTTGTAAAAAATCAGTTGGACATATCTGTGTGGTCTATTTCTGGTTTCTTTAGTCTGTTCTATTGATCTATGTCTCTATCCCTTTGCTAATACCACACTGACTTGTAGTAAGCCTTAGCATTGGATAGAGTGATTCATCCCACTTTATTCTTCTTTTCAAAAACTGTTTTAGTAGTTAATTTGATGTTACTATTTTTAAAAGGAATTATTTTATTTAACTTTATTTATTTATTTTAATCTGACCAGAGAGGGACAGAGTGAGAGAGAAGGAAAGTGGGAAAGCAAGCCACTAGGTCCAGGACTTGAACTGTGATTGGCCATGTGGGAGTCCAGTGCCCTTAACCACCATGCAACTGTTCACCTTGATGTTTTTTGTTTGTTTGTTTTTGTTTTTTGAGAGTTTTTTGCTATAGGGCATGTGTACTTGCCAGAAAGACAGAGAGAAGCAAAGAGCTTGCAGGGGAGAAACCCCCCCCCCTCCCCGCTCAAGGGGGATGGCCATGTCGCAATCCCTTCTTCTCCATTCTCCATTCTCCTCTCGGGATCTTGTGCATGCATGCACACATGCCTGGTGTGAGTTTAAGCCACCGGATCCAGGACTCGAATTGCGGTCAACTACACTGGAGTCCAGTGACATAACCATTATGCTAACTGCTGGTCCCAGACGTTACTTTTTTACTATGCATATATTTTTACTTTTTTTTTTTTTTTTTTTTAATGTGCTTGCCAGAGAGACAGAAGGACAAGAGGAGAAAGCACCTCCCATGGGGAATGGTCATGCCACATTCTTCTCCATTTTTCCCTCCTTTTGATTCTGGGCATGCACGTACACATGCCCTGTGTGTTTCTCAGGCTGCTGGGTCTGAGACTCGAACCACACAGTTGCCCATGTGGGATCTGACTATCTTATCCACCAGGCCACAGAGTCAGGCCTATTTTTACATTTTTTTTTTTATGAGACTGGGAGATCGTTTTAGTGTAACTTGCCAAATGTCATTTTTTAAAATTTAAGATCTTTTCATCCTGTAGCATTTAGGATGAAATCCAGAGTCCTCATCTCAGTTCCTGGCTCCCATTCCTGAGAAGCCTCATCTGTTCGGCTGTCCTGTCTACTCTTCACCTG